CAGCTTAGAACATAAAGTAATATAAGCAGAGACTTGGGAAGAAGTTTGAAGAAGATGGAAGGCCTACTATGGTGTGAGAGAAGAAACTACAGAGCTGAAATATGCCAGACCTTTTTCTTTTTCTTTTTCTTTTTTTTTTTTGGAATTGTCCATAACGGTGGACTGAAGTTCATAAAATGCAAAGGACCACTATTTATTGTGGTTCTTGAAAGCACAGAAGAACATAAAACCATGCAGTTAGTACATTAGAATCAAAATATTGCATCATAAAAATTAAGTCAAAAAACATGGTAGGAACAAATTATAAGCCAACTAGAATAGCCATGGTTAGGTAAAACTACAGACTAAAATTAAGTACTTCATGAACAGAGCAAACTTTGAAGTTCTATTTGAATTCTGAAGGTTTCCCAGACTCCAGCAAATAGATGTCACTAGATGTGACAGATTTCTTCCCCAATTTACTGGTAATACATACCTCCAACAGCCACCAGCCTGTCACAAGCCTGAGAGGCACCTGCAACTGCCAAGACAGCCATTGTGAAGATAAAATAAAACCTAAAACTTTAGGAGAATCCAAAGTTTTGGAAAAAAAATAGAAAAGAATTATAAATTTTAAAATGACAGGCAAAATTTTCTATCCTTAGTGTGTTCTATCTTTATCTTACTCATAGAATTCTCTCTTTTATCATGTGTGTGTGTGTTTGTGTATGTATGTGTGTGTGTTTGTGTGTTTGCTGTTTTGTGCATCAGAGGCTCAATGTTAGGGCTTTGTGCATGCTAGGCAACCATTCTTTCATTGACTTCCAAGCTACAGTTTCTTGTCAGTTTCCATCCTCCATGTACTTGTTATGGAAATGTTTCTTTGAACTAATAAATTGGCCTTTCACCCTTAGATCACTTTGGAAAGTGGTCAGTTTTCCACACATAAGCATAGGTTCATCTAACAAAGTTGTTTCATGTTCTCATCTGTAGTACACTAAAGACTCATGGGTGCTTAGAAAGGAAGAATAACAGCCAAACTATTCGAGATGGGAAAAAACGAGGGCCTGATGAAGAAAATGGGTGATTCCCAGGGGAACGGTAGGGAAACAAAGTGTAGAAGAAACGTAATGGGACAGTATTCTTTCCATGTACTTCAGGACCAGCTAAGGTCCTGCTGCTGCTCTCTCTGAGAGAAGAAGAGGGATGATTTCCTCTTCTGTGTTGTCCCCAAATACACCTGGTATCACTATAAAGCTCAGACGTATAATAGATTTCTTGGGGCTAGATTTCTTTTATAGGAAAATTAACCTTATTCTAAGAAGCTTAAAAGCTTAAAAAAATAGACTCATGGCTTTAAAAACATTGACTAATTTGAAGGGTTATAAACAAGATTGAGACATATGAGATTTTAAATATTCAAGAATTAATGTTAACAAAGGTGATATTTGATATTTCCACTAAAAGTTGGTAAATTGATAAATTCCTAAGTTGTTGTTGCTTAATTTAATTTCACATCCACAGAATGAAAATTTGAAGAGGTACTAGCTATTCTGTATAGCAGGTCTGAGGCACATATATAACAGAAGACTGCCTAGTGTGTCCTCTGTGGGAGAAGACATGCCTAATCCTGGAAAGACTTGAGGCCCTAGGGAGGGGGGAGGCATGGTGAGGGGAGCATCTTCTTGGAGAAAAGAGGGAGGAGGAATGGGATGAGGAACTGAGGGAGTGGGGACTGGGAAGCTGGGTGGGGGGAATGGCTGGATTGTAAATAAATAAAATAATAAAAAAGAAAAATAATATCATTAGAAATATAGAGGTGCATCTAGTCCCATATGCATAGATGGCACAATATCTTAAAGGACTCTATTAAAATACTGTCTCATGACATCAGTCTCCTACAACAAAGCATGTCACTTCATCAGGTTGGTTTATTGGCTTTTGAGATATAGTCTTACTATATAATATAACCCTTGAACTCATGTCAATTCCCCCGCTTTTCTGGTGCTAGTATTGAAGACATGAGCCACTAGGCTCAAATCCATTGACTTAGATAGCATTTCCTTTCATTGCCTTAGACAACCTAAGGCATCTAAATCCACAAGAGTTTTAGGTTGAGGTTTCACAGTGAGTTCTAGGGCACTGTATTGGTGGGGTTTTTGTTGTTTGTTTGTTTGTTTTTGTTTTTTTAATAATTTAATACCCACAGAAAGGTCATGTCCTTGTAATCGTGAGATTGCTTATGTCACAAAGCAAGAAGGAAATATCACTTTTATGTTTTTCTTCTTTCTCAAAATAATAAGTTAAAAGCACTTAACTTGACAGCTTGATGACACACTGTGTCTTGTTCATTTCTATCATTTCAAGACTAAACTTCAAAGACAAGAACAAGTTCTGTGCTTGCTATCATACACATGGGTCGTTTCTGTAACTATATGCAAGAGACAGACAATACTAGCTTTTTACAGGGAACAGGTTTTACTCTGTAAGAAGCTCTTTTGCATTGTTCTTTAAAAAAAATCCACCATTCGTTGTTTACTCATATAAATTTTAAAATAAACTTTAAAACGTGGTTATTTTAATATTGTAGCAGAGGGACAAAAGGCATGAGACAGTTAACTGAATCCCTAATGTGTAGGAACACACACGTACACAATATAAAACACTAGCAAAATATTTTTCCTGTAATAAGCCCCTCCCTATATAAATGTTTACATCCTGTTCTAGACGACATTATTATTATGATTTTTTTTAAAACAACAATTCTTAGGAACTAGGGGAGGTACAATAGAGGCCCGGAAGATTTTGATGATGGAAACTTTATTTATTTTGCAAATATTTGTAACTACCGGTTATGTGATAGGTCCTGCTCTAGGTACTTCCTCATTAGCAAAAGTTCTGGAAACCTTCTGTGTAAACACTCAAGCATTTTTCCCTCTTTGAGCGTTTGGCGTGCTTAAAATACTTCCAATAGATAAAGGGTAGTCTGTTCTGAAGTAGGCACTAACAAACTGTTCATTAGAGGGCACTTTGTACAGATGGCAGCCATCTTGTTTAGACCTTCAGTACTGAGGAGCGGGAGTGGGGGAAAGATAAAAATTAAGGTGGTCAGGAAGAAGAGTGATGTTGACAATAGAAACTAATACCAGAAGATCTTATCAACAAGCTTGGTGAAATAGTCAAAAATTTATTCCAATGTTTTATTAGCAATATCCCGTTATTAAAAAAAGCTTCTCATGGATGAAGCTTGCCACTGCAGACAACCTTTGTAATGCATGTCAAGTTTAATTTGACAGGTGACAATAAAAGACAGTGCTTTCTTATTGCATAAACTCTCACTAGTAAAAAAAAAAAAAAAAAAAAAAACAAAAAAAAACCATAACAACACATCACTTCGCCTAAACCTATCATAAATAATGAGAGGTGTCTTTTAATTCAAAGATGAGGAAAATATAGCTGTAAATAGAAGCCATTTCCTCACCTTAACTGATGCAGAAATGGCTGGGAGTGACGGAAAATCCGATTATTACTTTTCGGTAAAAAGATAACCCAATCCCCTGCCTTTCCAGAGATTAGCAGAACACCGACGGCCTTATCAGGGAAATGCCTTGGATTTTCATAAAACAGTGATCATATCACGAGCGACCCTTTCTTGTCCTCTGAACCACTTTCCTAACTACTGCTCAACACACCTTCACAGAAGAGGTATCTTTGGATTATACTGATTTTTATCCCTCCAGCGTCTCAGCTGGTTCCAACACATTCTACCAAATACAGTACAGGCATCACAGACTAGCAATCTGGATCCCACCTTGCTCGATTCTTCTAATGTACCAAATCTTGCAGCTTTTTCTTCAGTCAAGGAGGGTCGGACCAGAATGACGTAGGACACAAAATGAAATGGTTGGCCTAAGTACTCGGCAATCAAATTAAAGTTTTAACGCCGTATGAAATGGAAAGCAATTAATGCAAAAATGAATGATAAAAATATCAAAATTTTAAATAAAGGCAGGACTGGTACTACGGGGAGCTTCCTTTTGTTTCAAAATGTAATATGCCTTGGAGAGACTCTCTTGCGCCTCCGCTGAGTCTAGTTTACCTTGCAGTGACCTCCTGCTCAGGTGTTTATACTTTTGAAGCATCCTCAAAGTTTGTTCTCAAAGCCACTTTCCGCATTAGTTATCTCTGAATGCTCCAGCCTTTATCACTAGCTCGCTTCTGTCAGGAGAACCTATTTCCCCTTGCACTTTGAAGGCAGTCTGAATCATTCTGGATCCTTTCCAGAGCCTTCCTAAGCTACAGTGGGCAGGCACTCAGCACCTTTCCACAAAACTCCTTGATTCAGACTGGCTGAGCAACCACTGGACCCAGCAAAGGATTTTTGGTCTAGACTCTAGTCTTTCTTTTTGTTTGGTTTGTTTGTTTGTTTTTCCTCTGGCAAGATTCAATAACCAGGATATTTTGCACGAAAAAAAAAACCCGTTATGTGTTAATCACTTATTTATTTATAAAATGAAATCCAGCAAAACCAGGTCTGATTTCTTTCAGGATAGCCGCCGGCACTTAGAGCAGGGCAGCTGCTCTGCCTGCGGAGCTCCCTCAAGCTGGCTTCCTCCTTCCCGCTTCACTCATTTACTGGGCTTGTCAGGCCCCATTAGCTCTTGGATTTTGTCACCCTAAGTAAGCTTGCGACTGACTAAAACCCCACCTGCTGGGCCCACATTCCTGTAGCACTGTTTCTGGTTGTCTTTTGAACACTTGCTTGCAAAGGCTCCCAGAAGTAGCCCACCTTTCCAGCCCACAAACTTCCCACAGCCTATGGGTACTCTCACTGTCTTGCACTTGCTAACCCGCGCCCCACGGGCTGGCCCCTACTTGTCCCCTTGAGCTCCCGGCTACCGATCTTTGCCCCGGGCCAGGTCGCTGTGGCTCACCCACAGCAGCACTGGGCATGCTCACAGACAGCGGCGGGGGCAGGTTGGTTTTGCTAGCTCGCACTCGGCGGCGGCAGCGGGCCGGCGCGAGGCTGCAGCTCGGGCTCTGGCGCCCGGAGTTGGAGTTGCTCGGAGTTTCCCCGACCCCTCCCTCCTCGCGCACAGCAGCAGGAGCCCGCGCAGGAGCAGCGAGCCGCGACCAGCCAGCCCCGAAGCCCGCCCAGCCTAGCCTGCAGCCCCGATCTCCGCGCGGGGCAGCCGCGGGAGAGCACTGTCTTCGGTTGGGACGCGTGCCGCGCACCAGGCACCGCCCGAGCAGGAGCCCGGCTGCACGGTAGGTTCCTGGGGTGGGGAGGCCAGGGCCACCCGGCGTACAGTTGCAGCTACCGTGGCTGCCGGCTGGGATGCGCGCCGCGGGGCAGGCGGAGAGGGAAGGCGCGCGGAGAGCCGCACGGGCAAGTTGGAGGGCGGAAGGAGAGGGGGCTGTACACCGGGCTCAGCTGCTTTGTGCGCGCGGAAAGGGGTCTGGGTAGCTGATTCTGCGCCCCAACCCGGGACGAGGAGTGCGAGCAACATTGGCCAGAACCTAGCAGGTCAGATTCCCGTGAGAAAGTTGGTGGTGGAGTCCTTAGGTCCGCACTGCCGGCTCAAGCAGAACGGCCCCCAGAGGTGCCTCCTGGAAAACTCAGTGGGTCGCAGCGCCCCTAGCCAGAGCTCTCTCCACTGAAATCAGCGAATCACCTCATCTATGAATGCTGGCATTTTCTAGGAAGATCGCTACTGTCAAAACTGAGGCCGGTACTTCTTAAAGGGTTACCTTCTGGCCCTCTTGGCTTTTTGCCCCTTAACTCAACCTAAGGAGTGGTCAGGGGCTCCGCCAAGGCTTCCCTCGGGGCTCCGAATTCTCTTTCAGAGCGCGCCCGAATCCGGCTCACCCATATGGCAGGTCAACAAGGCTGGAGTAGATGGATGGCTTGCTTTTTCTTTCTGACTTTCCCCACGTTTACATTATCACAGACCCCAGGGCCGGAAGGTCAGTTAGAGAGTTTAGAATGGCACACCGTTCTTTAAGGAGGAGTGAGTGTGAGTTTGCTTTCTTTGGACTTCGGAACAACCCTCTCCTGTTTCTATCATTCTTCAACCCGGACTTTGTGGGAAGAAACCTGGGCAGGGGAATGTCTTCTTCATTTCATTGTCTCCCGAGGTCTTCTGGGAGACTCCAAGGCCCTGAAACTGGCAGTATGCATATTGCAAAGATATGGAGGATGTCCATGTTCTTTCTGGTTCCACTTTTTTCTCCGATTCTTGTTTTGAGTTTTAGGGGTTGTGCCTACACACCAGTCAAAGCAGCACTGTCCTAACAGGGTGGGGTGGAGGGGAAGGTGGGGGGGAAAGGGTTGAGGTGTGTGGAGGAGTTCAGACCTGGCTGTCAGTGATTGTTTGCCTTGCCTAGGAGACTGCTATGGGAAGAAGTCCAGAATAATTATGCAGGCTAGAAATACACCTCACTCTTTTTGCTTTCTTTTTCCCTTCCTCCTTTTCTTTCATCTCTTGGCTGAACACCTTGGTTGTTGGGTATGTGTGTTGAGTTTTTAAAGGAGGACTCCCTCTGACAAAGAGGCGGTATTTTGGGAGTTCACCATTTCTGCTATATGTTTTTCTCTTGTGGACTGTACATCTGGGGAAGATTTTCCCATGTAGGGATCCCATGGTGTTCCAGAGTCAGACAGACCTGGGTTCAAGTTTTCCCTGATGGACAAGCTATTGGCCACTTTGAACTTCAGCTTCTGTTTGTGTTGTTTGTTTTGTTTTTGTAACAAGTGGGAGATGATGGTGACCCTTTCTCGGTTTCTGTTGTGAATGACCTAACGGGAGATGAAGAGGGCTAAGAAAACATAAAGCTGTATCTAGGATTGCAGTTTTGTCTCTGTACACTGTGCCCAGTTTTAAAAACTGCTTATTCTTGATTTTAACAGACAGTCTCCCGAGAGTGTGCGGTCTTCACTACAAGGTTTAGTTGCTGAGATCTGTGGAAGCAGCTATTTACACACACCTGCACAGCTTCTCTCGATTATGGGTGGGAAATCCCTCTTTTCTGTCTGAGGGAGGCAGTGTGGTATAATGGAGGAGACCACGGAACCTGCCCTAGCACCATTCACAGTCCTGGGCCCGCAGAACTGTCTGTGTCAGCAAGGCTTCTTTTGTGATCCTAGGACGATGAAGAAATCAGCAAGTCCTGGGATGGAGCTCTGACTTGGCTTTTCATAGTGACCTTGAACTAAGGACTCAACTCCTCATTGGTGAAATCAGTCTGTGAGATTAAAAACCAACTTAAGTGGCAAGGACAGGAGAGATTACATGCCACCCAGTTAACAAGGATTTAATGAGGCTCCCGAGCTTGCCCAGAAATACACCCTGAGCCTAGAGCAGAGATTTCCAAATATGAGCATTAGTTCTTGCTAACTCATGAATTGCTGGCTTCCACTCCCAGTCCCTGAATCTCAAGGTTCAGAGCAGAGGTGTGGCGGTTTGTATTGCTGACTAGTTTCAGATGGTACTAAGGCTGCTCCCCAGGCCAGGCCTATAATCACTAATTTGTATAGGGGGAGAAAGAGAGATGCGGGCTGCTCCAAACTGGTTCTCAGTGATGAAGACAGGGTTTCCTTCAGAAGCATTTGGAAGTTGCTTTAAGCACTTTGAACTCCAAGACAGGCACCATCTCCCTTTAATGATTCTAATCACTTTTCAAATGAATAATTTTACAGAAAGATAAGATTGTTCTTTCTTACTGTCTAGTACTTAGTCTCCAGTCTGGAGAGACTTGGTGACAAGTCTTGTCTGTAGAGACAAGGTGATCGTGCTTTGGTAGAAAGAGATTGGTGCTTCTTAGACACATGTGCGTGATAGAAACTCAAGTTACCTGAGAAGAGGTACCCTTTACTAAGGAGTTACTTCCATTGTCCTGTAGGCAAATCTGTGGGGCATTCTCTTGCTTATGATTGAGGTGGGAGGGCTCAGCCCACTGTGGGTGGTGGCACCCTGAGTAGGTGGTCCTGCCTTTTCTTAAGCCTGGTGAGCAAGCCTACAAGTAAGTAGTGTTCCTCCACGGATCGGATCGTGCTTGAGTTCCTGCCTAAACGTCTCTCGGTGATGAATTGTGACTGAGACATGGAAACCAAATAAACCCTTTCTTCTCCAAGTTGCTTTTGGTCATCATGTTTATTACAGCAGCAGCATAACACAAACTAAAACAACTAAAACAAACCATACAAAGTCCAACAAGTATTCTATCTCCCTTTTTGAGGCCCTTGGACATTGGTGGAAAGTTGGCACACAGACTTGACGGCTGAAACCGTGTAGTTATGGGACAGCACATCTGAATGCATATTTAAGAAAGATTTTTTCAGAAGCGTTTTCTTTGAATAGACAGGTGGCTCTGGCCTTTCGGAAGTGTGAAGTGCATCATCCCATGACACTTGACCCATGGTGATCGGACTTAGCCAAAGCCAGCCATGCATTCTGGAGGATGGTAGCCTTGGCAATGACCTATAGCTTTCAGTAGCAGCTATACATTATCAGCAGGGTGCCAGGGTGAATTAGCTTTTAGCATTATTTAGGGTCAACCGATTTTTTCCTTGTCCACAGCACTGATGGATCTGTGCAGAGAGGTCTTACTATGACTTGCTGTGACCTAGATTGTGGCCTTGCATTTTAACTACTATGCATGAGAGAGGCACTAGGAGCCTGTCTGAGACAGGCGAGTTCTTGAGGAAGAAATAATGTTTATTTAACGAGTACCCAAATCTGGATATATGAGGTCAGTCAGCACTTTCACTACTTCTTATGTTGCTATTCCAAATGGCATCCTGGCTCACCAGCAAGCTTTATCTCAGTTTTCCATTTGTGCTTTGTTTTTTAGCATTAAAATGATTAACAGTGGGGGAAACTTATCAGTAAATCAGAAACCTATTCAATAACTCAAGTGGACCACTTAATGTTTTAGTAGCTAAAACTGAAGGCCCAAGCCTGCCTTCCTGACTGCAATCAACGCTTGGTGAAGGAACAGTTGTCATTCTCAAGATTCAGTAGCTCCTTGAGATGGCTTCTCGCACTTAGGACAAGCAGGAACACATCTGCTTTAAAACTCCTCCCCGTAACCTTATGTGTACCTTTTGGGTGTTACCCTTACTTTCTGCGGCTGTGTCGTGCCCCCTGCCCCCTTCTTGTGTGAATAGTCCTTTCCTTGTCACTGTTGTTTACTTTTCTCAGCAGCAATTCCCTGGTGTCTTTGCTCTGTTAATAAGTCTATTGTAAGACAATCATTATCTTATTTCATTTCTCTGTGGTTGTCACTGTTGGCATTGAGTTGCAGAGAGTCAAAGTCCAGAAGCGCCACTCTCGGCTTTCCTGAGAGTGCTCTTAAACAAAACAATCCGGGTTACACTGCAGTAGCTCAATTTAAAAAATACATTTGTTTGTTTTTCATGTCAACATTTTCCAGTTTGAGAAAACCAGGCAACTTAAACAGTATGAGCCTGTGTATACTATTTATTTATTTATTTATTTATTTATTTATTTATTTATGCCTGCTGCTAGTGGATGGCATTAGAAAACAAAGCAAATGTACTTTGTTACCCCGTATAAACTGGTTTCTTCTCATTGGTGTCCAGCTGATAGAATTGAGCAGTAATTGGATTAGCTCTGCAGTTCTGAAGGTGTTGGGAAAATGCTGTTGGGCTGGATGTTAATAGGTCTGCTCTTCTAAAGGACAAATCTGTTTGGGGAGCAGCACCCATTACTTTCCTCTCATACAGAGACTCTAAACATGTACACCATCATATCAAAGAAACCGAGATGTACTCCACTGAATAACATCGACACGTACTCATTCATAATTATTCAAGTCAGAATTTCCCAGAATACAACATTGTTGAGGTTGTTTGTGTATCTTTGGGGATGAATTACTAAATTAGGATATGCCAATCACTCTAATATGATCTCTAGTACTATTATGGATGGAATGGTTTGTTAGGGGCATTTTCTGGTTATTGACTAAATAATGAACTCTGTAAGGGATGACTGGTTGGTATTGCAGAGGAAGAATTTTAAGCTGTGGCTAGGCAAGTCTCCACGAAGGGGCGGAGATGTGTTATGTGAATGATGTAGCACTACTCTCCTGCAGATGGAGAACCTTTTATGTTGATGTTATGATACTGAAGTGGGCACTAGGAGTTGTGTCTGTGTAGATGATTTTCAAGGCACATGAGACTAAAGATGGTGCCTTGATCAGAATGAGCCGAAGAGATTCTATGGTGGTAGTCCAAAAAATAGTAC